TTTGCTAAAGCCAAGGTAAGTTATATCCACTGCTACCTCTTGCTCACAGAGCCAGTCATTTTATCAGAGGATGCAATCAGGTTTGTCAAGCATGATTCACCTTCAGTAAATCCATGCCCATTGTTCCCTATTACCTTCTTCTCCTTTATATGTTCAGAAATGTGTTTCAAAGAGCAGTTGCTCTGTGATTTTCCCAGAGACCAAAGTGAGGGCCAATTGGCTGCAGTTCCTGGAATTGATCTTTTGGCCTTTTGCAAAGATGGGTGCAACGACTGCCTTTTTCTAGTCACTGGGAGACTTTTTCTCCAGTAATCGCTGGCTCAATCCCTGTCCATTGCTGGCTGTTCCTCTTGAACATGTTCAAGGATCACAGAGGTATGGAAGACATTGTTAGCGCAGACTGAGACAAAGGCAACTTTGAGTACTTCAGACTTAATATGTCTCTGTTGTCACTGTATCACCCAGACCACTCAGCATCAGGCACACATTTTCCACGGCCAGGCTTTTATTACAAGTGTAACAAAAGAAGCTTTTCTTGGTGCCTTTGACATCCCTTGGAAATCTCAACTCCAGCTGAGCTTTGACTTTCCTGATACTGTATGTCCAGGTAAAATTTCTAAATTCCTCTTTTGTAGCCTATCCCTGCTTCTACCTCTTATATACTGCCTTTTGATGTTGGGACCTCCACCATGATCTCCCTGCTTAGTTAAGCTGGGTTCCTCATAAATCTGCTCATTTTCCTGCATATCAAGACAGACTGCTCTTGTGACTGGAGGGTCCTTAAAGACCTGCAAGCATTTATAAGCCACTGTGCCCTTTGGAGCTGCTTCCCGTGGAATCATACCTACCAGTCCCCGGAACAAGCCAAGTTCTGCTTGTCTGAAGTCCAGAGTCTGTATTTCATTAGCCTCCTCCCTCATTTCCTTCAAGATCTTGAACTTGTTGCTATATTCAAGGCTGCCACTGATTATCACATTCCTAACTATTTTTTCCTTATGAGTGAATAGCAAATGCAGGTGTTCCTCACCTCTAATTGGGTCAGATGGAGAAAGAGGTGGGCAACAGCCATGTAGTGACCAAAAACCAAAAGGACAGCTATTATGGTATGGAATCTGTGCAGAGAATCTCATATGGTGGTCTGTGAATGGCAGCAGGAGCTGACTGAGTATTTGTGTAAAGGAGGATGAAGTAGAGAGGATGAAAAGGAGAGGACAGTTGTACAAAAACTTGTCAGCACAGCTAGACAAAAAGTCCTCACAGGAATCTGGGGACCAGTAAGAAGAACAGTAGCCAATATTAAGTGACAAGCATGCTATTTAAGGAGAAGCAGCTTGCTGCTTCAAAGTTGCACTCCACTCAGCAAGTTAAATGAGGAAAAGCAGAAACATAGCTATGAAGTCAGAATGATTTTCAGCTGAGATTCTTGCATCAGAATGGGTAGGCAAGGAAGCTGAAGAAACAGAACAGTGAAAAAATATAATGACTCACAACTAAAAGAAAGTAAGACACTGACCAGAAGTAATGAGGAAACAAAGCCTAGAGAAAAAGGAAGCTAAGTCTGAAATGCAGTCGTGGTTCTCTACAGACAGTTTGTGGCCTGAGGTCGACTTGAGGCACAATTGCTAGACTTGGGTCACACAGGCCACGTCAGCTCCAGAGATCTAGGTCCTCAGTTATGAATGAAGATGCCTATGAACTTTTCCAAAATTGAATGAGCATTTCAGTGACCTGAGAACAAGGGAAGGATCCAGAGATAAGGAAAACAGGGTTAGGTATTGCCTACTGCGCAGAACTGGAGTTAATATCAAATACATTATAAAAAATGCTGCTTTGTTACATTACGGTACATCAGCCTGAGGTTAACCAAGCCTTTCTTTTAATTAAAACTGCATTTTAGACAAAGATATGCAGTAGATCAAATCAACTTGCATTTAGAGTAAAGCATCTGACATGCAGTCTTGAAGGGAACCAGTACTTAAGACCAAAAAACAGGGAACAGAACAAGAACAATCTGTGATAAAGAACTGGCATAGAGAAAAGTATTAAGCAGGAAGGACTTCATGCACCATTTTTGAAACTAATTTTATTTAGATATATTCATTAACAGCTCCAGCACAAGGAGAAGTACGCTAGCAAAACTTAAAATGACAAATTTGGGTGGCACTGTCAGTACAAGGCAGAGGATAGTACAGAGAACATAAGGAAACTGAGAACTGTATAATAGAAACAGGATGAAATACAGCATTACAAAGCACAAGATCATGTTCCTCAGAGTCTATACCCATAATTCCTGCCGTAATACATGAACTCATCAGTTGCAAATAATAGAAAGCAGAAATACTTGTGAGTATTAGTCAATCACAGAATGACTATATGCTGTATCAATGTGGCAAGGCCATAAGAAATAAAAGCAATCCCAATCTGCATTACTAGCTATTTCTAGTAGAAATAAAAATGCATTAGTGGCATTCAAGCACTGGTGATACTGGTAATCTGTACTACTGTATTTGGTTCTGGCATCCTGAGAGGTAGATTTAGAGGCTCAAAAGAGGTGAATTTAACCTGGAATAGATATAATGAAGGACTGCAAGGATTAGAATTATGAGGAGCCCCTCTTACCTGGTAAACCAAAAGCACTTGCCTTTAGCATAGCAAGAAAGACAAAAAAAACAACCAAATAACAAAAACCTGACAGATCTAAAGTATCTGAGAAGTAAGGAACCTAAGTTGAGGCAACAACTGTGCCATGGGTTCCAGACAAAGGGAACCAGACTGTATGTGTGAGGAGGTCCCATGCAATTCCATAATCCTATCTTTCTACATGCAATAGTTTGCTAAGTTGAACTTTCTCATATAATATATCCATCAAAATTAAAGCCTTGTCAAATAGCTGATCTGTAGCTGCTGAATAACCCTACCCAACTAGAAATACGTTCCAGTGCTATAGCACAGGCTTGATCAGAGAGCCTGGAAGTCCAGCAGCAGGTTATCTGTGCCAACTGCCTGACTCACTATCACCACAAGTAACACTAAGAACCTACCTCCTTTTCCACTATTACATAAGATGGTTTGCAAGATAAAAATCTGTTTATTATCTTCCCATCTCCCCTTCACAGTTCCCAGAAAACTCAAAGCAAGAGTCTGCAAAAGGTCTGTGGGTAACAGAGGCTGACTGGCTGGAAAATACACCAGAAGTAACTCTGGAAAGTTGGAAGTTTTACCCTGTGTTCCATGCACATTCCACAGTGCAAATCTTCCACTTGACAGGACACCAATGCAGACAGCATTTTCCTATCCCATGAAGGGCGAGCATAAGGAAGTTCTGATACACTGACTGCAGCCTAATGGAGTACCTTAATCCAAACACAATGTCACACCATCAATACCAACACGCCAGCTGCACTGATAAAAACTCCATTGCAGACAGAACTCTACCAATTAGTGTTGCCTTATCACTCCATCAGTTAAAATTATTAACTCACAGCAACAAAGATACTGAAAGGCAAGAAGACTTGGTAACAGCCTGATCCTGAAAGGTGCTAGCATTTGTATAGGTTTTTGACATATTTGAATAAGGCTCTATCTATTAAAGAACTATTATGAATCTGATAAACAGAGGCCCAAGTCTTCTGTTGCCAGAAAACTTCAGTTACCTCTGCTGTGAAGGAGACCTTTTTATCTCAGAAAGGTACCAGACGGGGGGGTGGGAGGGGGGGTGGAAGAAGAGCCTTGAAATGGACATATATTTAAAGCAACAGCCTCACCACAGAGGACATACAGTGTTCTGTGGAAACAGTATGTGTGGGACAGACAGAATTTACAGCACAAGAAATGTAGTTTTCATTCTAAGAAAGTAGAGACTCCAAGCAAGATACAGAAATGCAGGAATAGCTTCAATACAAATACCATGGAGGCTGCGAGTAGTTCAAACTTCTGGACTTAATTGTAGCTTAGTCCTTTCAAGACAGCAGCATGAGAGAACTAATGGCTAAGCTATGAGGGGCTGTGCTTTCAAAGGGTGGCTCGAATTACAAGAAATGAAGTGATGATACGACATGAGGAATACCAAAGTGGGCTCACCTCCTCAGAAAGCTGGCACTAGGTACCTGCAGAATGCCACAGAAGAGAATGTGGAGGCTGCTGGGAAGTCTGGGCTTACACTAGCAGTGGAGAGGTAGACTTGTAAAGGACATGGAGATCTACACACCTTTCAAAGTGATTTTTATTCCAGAAAAAGCACCAGAAGCTAAAGAAACTGGGTCTAGGATGTGACACGGCTGTGTGTTTTGAAGACTAAGGAAGCTTGCATTTTGGGACCAAGTAGGTTTGGGGAGAACTGTACAGAAGAGGACACAGGAAAGGAAACATCTGGGAATAATGAAAGAGAAGAGGAGCAGAGAGAAATTTTGATGTTTACAAAGGAAGTAGAAGATTTAAGCACTGAGGATCAAGCATAGGCAGACACTAAAAGCTAGACATATCCCCAGGGATAAGAGAATTAATAACTCTCTGGACAATGCAGGCCCCTTGAACTGTTGTTTACATGGGTTCACTGGAGTCCTACTAGGATGCAACCACAGAGATTAGAACCTGGCAGCTCTACTGGGCCAGAGAGACCTGAGAACAAGCCCATCTCCTACAGGCACAGCTGTGCCCTGAACTAGCTTTTGGCCAGCCTCAAAATTTGATCAAAAACATCCCTAAGACCCAGAGGGCCCCAGCGTCAAGTCTATAGTTCACGGCCCAGCACCACTGTCCATCCAGCAAGTGGCAGTGCTGGCTCGGCTAACCCAGGGCACGAGGCCGGCACAGGCCGGCTGTGCTCCACACTCCCAGCCCCCAGCTCCAGCCCCAGCCTAGCTTTCGAGACTTTTACCCACTGCCTACTTACTTTTTAATTAGATTTTTAAACAAAAAGTGAAAGTATTTTCTAAAACCCCTCTAATTACACTAAGATCCTGAACTGATTGTGAAGGGAATAGGAAATGAAAGCGACTCACCCTCTGAGGGAGAATTTTGTCAGCCATCTTCCTCCTCTTGGCACTGTACATTTTTTAAAGAAAAAAACACGTTACCATGGTGACAGATCTAGGAGTAACGAGGCCACCTGCTAAATTATCCTGACATCTCCACATGCTGGTGCACAGCTGTGCATGCATCAGCAAAAGGGTCTCACCCATGCCCAGGACCTAGGACCCCTTCTCTCAGCAGCCTGGGGAGGTAGTTAGCTAAGAACAAATCAGGGCTGTCTGTTATGCATCTTGGAAAGAAGTGTGCAAGTTCTTTGATCACAGCATCTTCTATGGTGCCGGGCAGCAATGTATGCAAGTGCATGTGCTCATGCTGTCTGTGGATGCAGAAAAAACATGTAGGAGGACAGTGTGCGTGTGTGAAAATGGCATAGATACACCTATGCACATGCACATGTAAGTGGTTGAGTGTCTGTAAACAGAATGTGAACTTGTTCAAACAAATGATGTGCACTCATTCATTCAAGCCTAAAACTGAGTGCTGATGAAAACATGTATGTGTATTCCATATGACGTATGAAAACACACATATATACACACCCTTCCCTACATATATACATTTGTTTTATTATAATGCATTTGCATGAGCGATATGCAAAGGTGATGACACGCAAAAGGGCTTACATTTCCACATTTTTCATCTTTATGAACATACAAGTGGAAAGATATATGTGTGCCTGCTGTGTATATACATAATGTGTCCATACCCATATGTAAGCACATTTACAAATCTGCTTTTAAAAACATCCTTGTATTTGTGAACAGACACAAATGTATATGTGCCTAAGAAATGGTTCTGTCAGGATGATTGCCAAATACATTGTCTTTTGAACTCTTCAGATTCTAAAACCTCTTTGTGCCCACCAAACCCATCATCTAGCTCTCTCTAACAAGGCCAAGAAGGAACTCAGACCTTATTCTTCACCTCTATAATTTGTGAGGCCTTTATCTTTAAGCAGGAAATGAATCATTCCATCTGTGACAGACAATTGGGAGAAAACAACTGCCTGCTACCACTCTGCCATGTCACATGGATGCCCCTCCTTACTGTCTTTATACAGGAAGTCTGTCATCAGCTATGTCCACGTAAAAATTGTTTCCACGCACATTGCTGTGTAGGAAGGGAGTACCCTTCCTACATTTGCTAATAAGAAGCCTGGCCTGAAATACCACATCCTTAGATTCTCTCCTTTGCCCATAGAAGCCAAGACTGAGGAACTCTTTGTGCCCAGAGGTGCAAACTACATCCTTCCTCAGGGGCAGAAAATTCATCCACACAGTCACACCCCACCTCGTAGGTGAAAAATGTCCCTTTTTTAAAGTGTATGAGTGTTACATGGTGTGAACCTCCAACACCTTCCACAGCTCACAAAATCAAATCTGCACTGCAACACTTCACAGAATATGGAAGTAATGCATGAACAAACTCCACCTTTCCAAAGGGAAATGGGATAGGCACACACATGCAAAAAACCCAAAGGCTTGCAATTAAAAAGCAAAGATCAAGGACACCGAAAAAGCCCCAACAACCTGCGTCTCAACCAGTTCTCCTAGAGTCTATTACAGAAATGAGATTTTGGTCTCCACCAAACCTGCCAAGAAAGGGTGACTACACCTTTTTGGCCTGTTTGTGCCATACAACATAGGAGTCTATTACTCCCAGACCTGCACCTAAGGTGCCAGGAAAGTCTGCCTGAAAAAAAAAAAACCAAACAAAAAACAAAAAACAAAACCAGAAGAATTTCAATGGGAAACAACAGGGAGGCATAAATGAACAAGAGGGAAATATTCAACACATTATCTGAGGGGAAGACATGGCAGAAGAAACAGAGAAACACTCCTGGGCACCTAGGAAGCACTAGTGTGAGCTGGATTTGCTACATGAGAGATCACTGCTGGGTTCCAAATGAGAAGCACAGAAGTTGAGAACGGGGGAGGGGGAACACTTTCTTTTGTGAGTTACAACATCTAATTTTAGAAAATACTTCTAAAGTTATGACTAAAGTTTACCTTAATTAATCAACAGGGGCAAATTTTCAGGTTATAACAACCATGTATATTTGAAGGCTAGGCATTATTTTGTGCAGTTTCCAGGAGTACCTCCTGGTAGGTGCTGTGGAACATGCATTTTGCCTAGTGCTGGGGAAGTCCTCCAAGATGCACATACATTTCCTGCGCTCATGTGCTGCTCTCATACACATTCCTTCTGTATTCAATCTTATCCAATCATAATATATCAATACTCTCAGGATTGGTGTCCTTTCCAGATGCATCCCAGATATAAGCATTCCCAAGTCTGGCTTGCTGATCCAAGGCAAATAACTCAGAAAGAGCAGGGCTCCTAAAGAACTGAGCTAAGAGAATCATATTTTACCTACAACTCGATATGATGACACCACCAGAACATTGTCTCCATCTATATATACACCTATACTGTTTTGCAAAAGGCAGATCACCTAAATGTCTGCTGTATTTATCAGGAACTGGCTCACACTAGGAACCCAAGAGTGCTGAGGTTAATAAGTTGCCCAAAGAAATTAGCTGTTACTTAAGAGAGAATGCATTCAGCACTGTACAAAGTGGCACATTTTAAAAAGAAAGTTCCTTTAAAAAAAAAACTCTAATGATATGAAATTATTTTCTATGCATATCTCTTTAGTTTATATGCAGGAATGCCTGTGGCAATTGCAAGTTTTATTACCACTCTCCTGAGTAACTACAGTACTTCACATGACAAATGAAATTTATTTTCTACTTGTCTTGTTTACAAACCATTTTCTTAGCCAGTCAGAAATTAGAGAAAATATACACACCAGATAATGCAGTAATTGTACTATATTAGAAGAGATCTGTTCATAAACTTTAAAGGCTAAATATAACAGCCAGGTTTATAGCCCGATAAACCTGTGAGGTAAAAGCATTATAACTGCAAAGCCAGACATTAGTAAAGGTCAGTTTGTTCAAGATCATTCACAAAGTAGAGAGTAAAATTTACCAATCTTTTTCCTGCTTTAAGAAACAAACAATATCTAAATCTTCTATCCTGTCTTGTTTGATCTTAAAGGTGTTACCTATTACTAAAAAGATACTGTTTTTTTTCTCCCTCAAATTGTCCTCCCGTATTTTCTTTCTGGAACACTCACCTCCTAGTTCGGTTCTGAGTGGCTTGCTGCTGCTGTTGCACTTGCTGCTGCACCTGCTGTTGCTGGACCTGCTGTGGTGCAGTGCGTTTTCTTGTTGTTTCCATCACGGTCTGGGGCATCCCAGGTCGCACTGAGGGGCTTCCAACGTATGGGGGACCTGGGGGACCCATGGGAGCCCCCTGATGGGGCATTCGAGCTCCTGATGGCATCCCAGGTCGCTAGAGAGGAAGCGAAACAGAAAGAAGAGCCAGTTTGGTCCCTGATTCTTCAGCTTCTAAGACATTTGTACTTAATCAAACACTAGCTCCAGTACATTCCCCATTTTAACCATCCTGTAAACACTAAGCAGCAACACAGAGCACTGGTATTTCCTGGATATAGTAAAGAGGCATTCAGTGATAAAGTAGACAGGAAAGAAGGATGAAAAATACTAGGCTTGGGAAAACACTCTTTGGTCAGTAACATATCCAGACCAGCTTAAAGAAAGCTCTACCTTCAGACCGAAGAAAAAGCTCCATGGCAGCTACACGCAGCCCAGATTGGTGCAGTTCACATGCTAATCAAGCCACAAGCAAGCTCACATCTACAGCGCTTCAGATTCTGCACTGACTAGCAGGCTGCTTTGATCAGAAGGGAGACTGTAACAAGCAAAGGTGAACCTTGAAACACAATGGTAAAACATTTTCCATTAAGAGCCCTCTGCTTCACCTACACCGGAGAGCAGTGTAAGTTCATAAAGTGACAAGCATCTTTTAAGAAAAGGTGATGTCTCTATCAAGCCTTTAAAATAAAAAGAAAAAAGGGAATGTGGTAGCTTGTCAGCAGCCCCTATAGGCGTTCTAAGTCCTGACATTTATGTTGACTTCAGCATGCTCTGGAGAGACACTCAGGGTCAAATCAAAAGCTTAATGCTGATCAAGACACAGAGTAATCTCGATTCTAAATCCTAGAAGTTTGTAGTCATCATGGAAAAACACCAGTAAAATAATTACCACCTGTAAAATAGAATTTAAAACAGAAAGAAGAGCTTAGTTTCATTCTAATTATCGAGATGCTTATTATCTGTCTACATATATATGAAAATACAGAGAAATGCACACATAGCCTATAGGCATCTGAACTGGTATATGAATAAAGATAAGTACACACATACACACACAAAAAAATAAAGTCTTTTGAAAGTAAAATCCCTCTACAAAGTTTTCTAAGGGAACCAAGAGGCAGTAGCATCCATTATGGATACATGACGTAAAGTAATTGTTTCTGAAAAGGAAGGCACATGCAGTGTGTTGCTGGGACTCACACTTTTTAGCATATTCATAAGCAACCTGGGAGGGGAAGAAGGGAGGGATTAAAAAAACAAAAGAGGAAAAAATGGAAAAAATAAGAGAAAAAAAAGCAAGGAAGTGAAAAAGTTTGTTGATAATGTTAAGTTATTCAAGCTGGCAAGGATGAAGGCCAGCTTCAAAGAACTGCAGAAGGACTTTTATGAGACAGAATGAACGTTAAAAAGGAAGATGAAAATGGATTTCAATACATAATGAAGTGAATAACATGGGGGAAAACCAATCCAGTCATCATATACAAAACAAGGGGCTCTGAGCTGACTGTAGCCCAACAGAAGCATGATGTTAAACAGACATGTCCAGGAAAAAAAATAATACAGCAGTTCACTGCTTACTAGAGGTCAAAAAAAAAAGCCATTAAACAAAAGAAATGACAAGGAAAGGAACAGAGAACATCACTGTGCCCCTGTCCATAGTCTGCCCACACGATGAATGCTACGTGCAGTTCTGGTTCCTGCAGGTACCAGTAGAGTAAAACTGAAAAAAACAACAAAGAATGGCACAGGAATGATTAAGATATGGAACTGCATCCAAGTAACTGAAAATAAATACACTATGATTTTCCATCACAAAAGAGGTAACCTGAGGGGGGCATTTACTAGAGCTCTGCAAAATCATGAGTGGCCTGGAGGTGGCAGTTGGGGATTGACTGTTCGATGCCCCTTCCAGAATAACGAAGTTCAGTCATCAGAGTTGGTTAGGAGGAGTCAGGCTCTCAGACAGCCAAAAGAGGATATAGTCTGCCTCACAGTGGGTAGTCAGCCTGTGAAACCCCTTTCCAAAGAGGTGCTAATGACATGGAAAACATATTTGGCTCAGAAACTTCACTAAGTTATCAACAGTTAAAGCCAAGAAAAAGTACTAGGGAGAAGTACACTAGTGGTCTCCAAAGGGAGGTGCTTGCACCATGGAGGGTATGGAGGACAGTCCACTGGGAGATGGGAAGAAAAAGGTCTTTGCACCACTAATAAATAAAATAAAAATAATAAAAAAGTTTATTTAATCTTTACATCATCCTTTTATAATTTGTAAAGATGTAATTACAATATATAATTACATATTATTCTAAACATAATTTGGACCTGCATCTGCAAATTAACCACCCACGTGCACTGTGGCCCCCAAAGCCCCAGCTCAGTGCCCTCCCTGATCATCACAAGTTTTCAACATTCCTTGCACTCGTATGCATGAAGAAGGGGAATGATCAGCAAAGAATCAATGGCTACAATCAGTATGGAGAGAGGAAGAAGGCTGAGGTAGGACACAGACCAGCACAGGGAACCAAGCACATGAATTCAGCAAGTATTCATGTATGAAACTGGTTGTGGGTCTGGCCACTGAGCAGAGAAGCAGAAGGACGCAGTAAAAAGGCAAAGCTGAGGCTCTGTGCAGAGCTGGAAACATCTCCCATAAACACAGAGCTATGAAAACTGCTGGAACAGAGCAGCTCTCTCCGTTCCCACGTACTCACACCCACCCTCTGACCCAGGCAGAGTCAGCAGGAACAAATGGCCCAGAAAACGCTTCTCACTTAAGCTTGTACTTAACATCTCTCTGTTGTCTGTCAACCTACACCTCGTGGCCATCTTGCAGCAAAGAGCAGACCACTGGGCCTGCTGTTGCCTGTCAATCAGCTGGGGACATTTGACAGGCATTCAGGAGAGACAAGATCCCGAGCACTCCCATCTCATGTTCATCCCTCATGGAGACTGTCTGGCCACAAGGATCAGACTGCAGGCCCTCTTTCCTGCTACTACGAAGGACACATTAAGGCCTGGAGAACAAGGTCAGCAAGCCAGGCCTACTCTCAGTCTAAGCCTGAGGTCTTTGAGCTTCCTTCAGTTCCCTTTGTTACACATCAAAATAGGAAAAACACAGAGAAATGACAAAATAGAGAAAAAAGAGACTGCTCTAGTAAAAGCATATTCAATTTCCCTTCTCCTGTTCCCATCGCCAGTATCACCCACAGAAGAAATATAACTTACTGCACAATTGCCATCTCCCTGCTGCAAGCCCACCAGACTTCCAAGATACAAAAATGTTTTCTCTATGTAAACTTGTAAAAGGAGAACACACAAGCAGTACCTTACATGTCTAAAAGCCTATTTTGTTCTCTAACACACGTGCAAGACAAGGCAGTGACACATAATACACTGAATTTTTCACAATATTGACATTAAAAAAAAAAAAAGATGTCTTCATACGAAAGAGTACTTCACTACCATTACGTCTTTTGAAAGAAATCTTGGAGGTGCACCTATCTAGGGGTTAGGATCTGTCTCTCGCCTCTTCTCAGAGGGATGCAATCTTTCCTGAACAAGTATCTTCCATGGTAAAGGCTGCAGTGCAAAACAGCACTGACACATCCTCCTTCCTAGGAAATTGTTTACCCTAGACACCTCTACCTGACCCAACTGTTCTTACCCACAGACCTAACCACTTTTTTTCCTGCATTGACTCCATATACATATACTCTGCAGTACTTCACTTTAATGGACAGAGGGGAAAATCACTGTGGGGCACAGGAAATGAGTAAGATCACACTATGTCCCCTGCTGAAGGGACCACTCTCACAGCTCTGAGAAGATGAAGAGTAGAGCAGAGCTGCCTGCAGAGCAAGGACAGAGTACAGCACTTAGAGAGCCAGGGGGGTTGAACTAGGTATCTTCAAGGTCCCTTCTAACCCTAACCATTCTGTGGTTCTGTGAAAGGCGCACAACCAATGCTTCATGCTTGTATACTGGTCCCTAAGAGTTCTGCTGACTGCCCGCATTACTGTACACAGTCTACCGCTGCCCCTGACTACACCCTTCCAAAACTAAGCACAGTGTCAGTGCCACAAGCATACCACCTCCCTCCCCAACAACTGCTGCCAAGTCCCTATCGCTGCCTTCCACTGCCCAGTTTCCAAAGCCACACATCTGGCTTTTCTACTTTCTTCCCTGCCTGAACCTTCTATCACATCAGATGACAGTTTCTTTCCACTTCGCCATTCTTCAAGTGAACTTCTCCTCCCTCGTGGCAGAAATGAGAGACAGCACTGGAGTGGTGCTTTTCTATGTATTTCTGCTGCAGTCTTTTCTCCAGGGACATCAACATCATAGTGACCAAAATGCTGAAGCAGAAAAAGGAAGGGTTCCTGTCTGGACATACCAGACAGAGGAAAATAACCTGGAAACTGACAAGTGAAAATGTCAAGAAAAGAAGAGCAAAACCACCTACAAGATCCTTAGAAAGAGACTGAACAAAGAGCAGGAAGTCAGTGCAATGCCATGTAGCATTGAGCTGCACCTACAGCAATTTCTTCTTCTGAAAGACTCAACTTTATCCATGTTTGTACTACACAGAAGGACTCTGATGGCATGCAGTGAACAGCCATGGGCTTCTTGTTAACACAGCAACTGGCAGATTTTGAGAACAGCAATAATTACCAAGTATACAAACAGCATGTTTTTTTAACTAAAAATAGAAGCTACCTTGGCTAGACAATATATCCTGCCAAGGCATTACAGTAGCTACTGATTTCTATAGGACATAAGCAAAAGCAAGGGGAGATGCCAGATGCTGTCTGGAGGTACAAATGGATCACTAGAAGTATCTGAAACAACTAAGAAATTCGGACTAGACTGGTGCTTCCTGATGGCAACCAGTTTCTGACTGCACAAATGGTTTCCCAGACAGCTTCTCTCCTCTCTTATAACTGCAGATGTTACTTCATATGAATTCCCTTTTAAAATCTATGAATTTTATAGTGATTTAATAAGGAGAAACATCAGTATTGCAATTCTTTTAACATGTCTGCCATATTCACCTTCCTCCATTTCCCAAAAGCTTTCACATCCTGGCATAAAGGTCTAACTGTTCCAGGTTCC